CATCTCATAAAGCAATCTTCACCTTCAAAAACGCACTGATGCCAACATGCGAAGGGAAGGGATTTGTAGCACTGAGGAATCTCTCCTTATAAATTATCTCCTTCTTATATGAAAACTCAAACTGAAAAACAAGTAAATGGTAACCAGAAACATTTGTTAGAAGCATTGAAAAGAAATTATTGAATGAAAAGGAAATGGAGAAACAAAGGAAGTCTTAAAATGAATATACAAAAACTTTCAGTGACTAGCATGAGGTTTGTAGTTTCTGGTGCTTCAAACATAATATCAGTCACCAAATGATGATAAATTCTTGGAATTGCATTAGTTAATCAAATACAGAGAAAACATAATATTAAATTTTCATTGAACAACATGAAGAAAGACTTGTTGATTTCTTACTGCAAGTGCAATGCACACCTGCCAGAGCGAATTGATAAGCTCTTTTTCTGACTCATATCCAGTAAAGACTGATCATTATATAAATAAACAACAGAAAAAGAAAAAACATGAAAATCTTATCTTATCAGGAACAAAAATTACATGCAAAACTGTAGGTATAAGGGATTAATCAATCATTCAACCGATTCACTTATTAAAATGGGGAAGGAGAATGACATCACTTTAAAATATGCGGGCGAAGCACAAAGATTAATTTTTTACTGGAAGAGACTGGATGCTTATCTTTTCCAAACAGAAACAAAGTATCCCCGACATTAAGTAAATCTGCTAAAATTAAAACAGGTTATTAAATGATCAATAAACAAATCAGGTTGAATAATCTTCTTGTGTGTTTATGTTGAGAAATTTGAATGAAGGGAACAAGCATTTTTCCTTTGGCAATTACTAGATCTTATCAAATGTCAGGGAGAAGATTTAGGGGCAAAATGATCTTATCAAGACCTTGTTTAAGAAGAAAAGAATATAGCATTTTAGATTGTTTGAAAGCAACAACATATATTCAATAGCATCAAAGCAACAACAAGGATTCTTTGCGTCCTATAAATATAAAGTGAAAGAAATAATTTTTTTACAATTTATAAATTAATAACCATTTTAGATTGTTTGAAGAGATCAATATATGCTTTGACAAATGGTGGGTCTATCATACATTATTATTCCACATAAATCATTCACTTTATAATAACAGAGAGAGAGAGAGAGAACAAGGGGAATTTAATAAACTAAAATGATACCAACACTCTATAATTTAACTACCATGAAAGCAAAGAATGTGCTAGCATTGTTGGATATGAAGAAAGAAAAGAATATGAGAATCGCTTTTGCTTGGAGAAAAGTTGGTACCTTAACTAGCATCAAAGCAACATGCTGATTAGAGTCATCTGGTGAAAGATTTGTGGTCTTTTTTGGGCTATAAATAACAAATGGAAGGCTAGAAATTCCACAACACAACCAAACACAAAATATTTCAATATCTTAAGGCAATTACCATCTTTTGGCTATGGCTGAATCACTTGTCTCCACCATCCTGGGTCAATTGGCTTCACTAGCCACTGAAGAGGTGACCCTTCTTCAGGGTGTTGGTAACGAACTGAGAAAGCTCACTAGCTATTTCATGGCCATTCAAGCTGTGATTGAAGACGCAGAGTGCAGAGAAGTGAAGGAGAGGGGTGTACGAATTTGGTTGGATCAGCTCAGAGACGTCTCATATGACATCGAGGACGTGCTGGATGAGTGGATCACGGCGAACAAAAAATCACAAATGAAGGAAGCTGAAAATGCTTCCAAGCTTTGGAAAAAGGTATGTTCTTGCATCTCCTCTGAATGCTTTTGTTGCAAGAAAGTTTTCCTACGTCATGAAATTGCTATCAAGATAAAAGATCTAAATGAAAGACTTGGTGATATTGCCAAGGAAAAGGATAATTTCAATTTTAGCTTGACTAGGGGCACTACACAACCAGAGCACGAAATGACTGCCTCTTTTATTGATGTACTAGATGTCTATGGCAGAGATAATGATAGGAATACATTAACAAACTTGTTAGTAGCGGAGAGTAGCCAAGGATCAACCATCTCTACCATTTCTATAGTAGGGATGGGAGGGATTGGAAAAACAACTCTGGCTCAATTAGTTTTTAATGATGATAAAGTCAACACCCATTTTGATAATAAAATTTGGGTGTGTGTCTCTGATCCTTTTAGTGAGATTACGATCGCTAAAGCAATTCTTGAATCTCTTTTAGGTGGAAAAAAAGATGCAGATCAATTAGAAACTGTGTTAAAAGACATATGTCAATCTATTAAGGACAAGAAAATTCTTATTGTTTTAGATGATGTGTGGCTTGATGATTTTAGGAAATGGGAAAAAGTTAAGAGTGCTCTTGCGTCTGCTTCTCAAGTGAGTAAAATTCTGGTGACCACACGTAAAGAGAGTACCGCAAAAATAATGAGAAGCACCAATATTATCCCAATAGGAAAATTAGGTGATGGAGAATCGTGGTTGTTATTTACAAAAGTTGCATTTTTTGAAAAAACAAAGGAAGAGTTTGAAAATTTAAAAGAGATTGGTCGAAAGATTGTAGGAAAGTGTGATGGCTTGCCTCTTGCTATAAAGACTTTAGGAAGTCTCTTGAGTTTAAAAACACAGGTTGAGCAATGGCAAAGTGTCTTAGATAGTGATTTATGGAAATTAGAAGAGATAGAAAAAGCACTCTTCCCCCCTATCCTCTTGAGCTATTATGATTTGTCTTCTAAACTAAGAAAATGTTTTTCTTATTGTGCCATATTTCCTAAAGACTATGTGATAGAGAAAGATATATTGATTAAGTTATGGATGGCTCAAGGTTTTCTTAAGGTAGAAGGAAACAAGGAAATGGAATTAGTTGGTGAAGAATATTTTGAAAATTTAGTAATGCGTTCTTTGTTTCAAGATTTTGAAAAAAGTGAATATGATGGTAGTATTTTAAGATGCAAGATGCATGATATAGTGCATGACTTTGTTCAATTTATTTCAAATAATGAATGTTTTGCAACAGAAGATGAGAGTCATGCAATTCCTCAAAGTGTTCGGCATTTGTATGTAAGAAGAAGTAGTTCAATTCCTTACTCTAATCTTAATCTTAAAAAATTACGTAGCTTTGTAGTTGAAAGAGGAGGCTTACTTAGATATGTTGATCAATTAACATGTCTAAGGACATTAAGTTTCAGTGGCTATAATTGTGAAATTCCAAAAGCAATAAAATATTTAGTGCATTTGAGGTACCTTAGGTTGGAGAATAATAGAGCTATAGAAAAATTGCCTGAGGTAATGTGTGATTTATATAATCTACAAACCTTGGATGTCACTCGTTGTTGGTGGATTAAAAAGCTACCCCAAGGGATAGGAAAGTTAGTTAATTTGAGGCATCTATTAATTGGTGAGACATGGTCATTAAGGTACATTCCAAAAGGAGTAGAGAGATTGAGTTGTCTAAAGACATTAAATAAATTCGTTATTAATGGTGATTATGATTATGGTAACAAAGCATGCACTAGTCTTGATTCTTTGAAGAACTTGAAACTGGGCCCATCTTTAGAGTTAGAGTTGGTAAATGTGAGGGATAGTAATGCACTTAAACCTGCAGATTTTCAGAGTATCAAAAATCTCCTTCATTTAACTTTATCATTTCATATTCAATTTAAGGAGAGAAGCGGAAATGAGGAGAATGTAATGATTATTGAAGCATTACAACCACCTCCAAATTTAGAGAAATTACGGATAGAATACTTTGAAGGCAAATCCATGTCTTTTGATTGGATGGTATCATTAATCAAGTTGAAGGAGTTGGAGCTTTCTTATTGCTCCAAGTGTGAGCATTTACCTCCTTTGGGAAAACTACCATCCCTTGAATCACTAATTATAGAAGGGAGTAAGGGTATAGAAAGAGTGGGTAATGAATTTTTGGGAATAGAAAATGATGCCACATCATCATCATCATCAATTGTTGCCTTTCCCAAATTAAAATTCCTCCATTTCATTGAGCTGCATATATGGGAAGAGTGGAATTATGAGATTACAAATAGCAGAGACAAAGATATTACAATCATGCATGTCTTCATTCTTTGTCAATTAAATATTGTTTTAAATTAAAGGCACTTCCAGAACAAATTCTTCAAACACCAACACTGCAGCAATTAAAGATTTCTCATTGGTGCTCTTTTCTGGAAGAACGTTACAAAGAGACAGGAGATGACAGGAGCAAGATCTCTCACATTCCAAAAGTCTCTATTGGTCATTGGTAGATTGTTGGAATGTGAGAGATGCAATTGCTATTCACCCATTGGTAAATTCATTCCCCTTCTCCTTTTTGTAATTCAAAATCTTATATTACAATAATGTTTATTATTTTTATGGATGAATATTTTGTTTTTATTATTTTCCGTAGAACTCTTATTTAGAGGATTACATTGGTTATATCATGTCTTAAAAAGTTATTACTCTTATTATAATGTTTTGTTTATTACTCTTATTTAGAGAATTACATTGATTATTTAACCAATTGTTAGATCAATTTAATTTATTTATTTTTATGCATGAAAAACTGATTTAGAATTTTCACTAACATGATATTTTGCATTTATTATAATATTTTTTAAAGACATGCAAAATTATAATAAAAGAAAATTGATAAAAGTATTTAGATAACTGAAATAAATGCAAAGTATCATTATCTTTAAGAGTAGTATTCATCTGGTTAGATCAATTTAATTTATTTATTTTTATGCATGAAAAAATGATTTATAATTTATTTTTATGCATGAAAAGTTTATTTACATAACTTAAATAAATGCAAAATTATGTTTTGGTACATATAAATGCGAAAATATTAAAATTTGGTTGAAATTGCCTTAAAAACAAATATTATTAAATTTCTCATAATATTTCTAATATTGATTAAACCCAACTAAACTTCATTCTTCTCTTCTGTGTTCAATCGTCATTCTTCGTCTTCAATATTCTAATCTTCGCTTTGTTTTTCTGATCGTCTTCAATATTCAAGAATATTTGGTGACGGGTGTTGATGTCGTCATTTTCCCCTTTTTCTGGGTTTGGTTTAGTGGGTTCTGGTGTGGCGAGCCACAGTGAGAGACTTGTGGAACCCGAGTATTTGGAGATGGAGGAGAGAGTTCTAAGCCGTTGAAGGTTACGTTGAGTGGGCTTGCCAGGCATTGGACCTATGCGATTCCGATTGGTAATGGAGGACTTGGAGCCATGGTGTGGGGTGATGTTGCTTCAGAGACTCTTCAACTTAATGGTAAAGTAAAGTTATCTTCGTTTGCGTTGTTGAAGAAAATTTTGGCTTCGTCATGCTTTCCGTTGTTCTTGTTTTTATTTTCAGTGAAGAAACACACTTTGAGAGTATTAGTAACGTTTGATTTAGTTCATTATCGCTTTATTGTTAAAGAAACAGAATGTGAGAAATTAAAGACTGAATATTTTAATTTAATTTAATTTTCTATATTTTTAATCAAGTAGATTGCAAAGAGTCATTTAAACTGCTTCAAATGTTTGGATTGGTGGCGTTATTATTTTTCTGATAATAATGGTAGGAATGCTATCACTTGTTCTTTTTAGGTTGAAATCGCTTTTCACTCTGTGTTGCTGACAGAAACCCTGGGAAACTATGGCATTGGGAAGTAATTTCAGCTTTCCCATCTCTCTTGACAGATAGTGAAAGAAGAATTTGACTGATGATCCTGGTGCCTGGGCTGTTGATTAAACCTTTGTGTTATATATCCATATAAGTCATTGCAGATGGTGGTTGTTAAACTTTCTCAGTTAGATCCTGGCAACTTGAGATGATCCGTTCTTGATAGGAGTAACAGGGATCTTTAATTGAAATCAGATCACAGCTCTCACTACTTTAGCTATTGTTCTGCAATCAGAGGTATTATACTTGGCTGGCAAATCCTTTATTATATATTTGGGTTTTGTTCTGTTTGTATTGGCTAAGACTTTCTCATTCTATGAATTTGGCAGGCTCTAGATTAATTTTGGAGATCCCATTGCAATGTTGTTGAAATCACCAGTTCTTGTAAATCTTGGGCAGCTATAAATGCGATCAAAAAGGAGAGTTTCTAAAGCATCTTAGCCCCAAGTTTCACATCAGTTTGATGAACGAATACTGGCTTTGTTACATATAGTTGTGGATGATTTCCAAACCATGTTTAGGTACTTTGTTTAGCAAATTGAGCTCTTTCTTAATCTTCATTTATCAGTTATTGCTGTTTATGCAACCAATGCTTGTCATTCCAATTTTTTTTTTTTTTTTTTAATTTCATATTTCTTTTTGTTACCTTGTGAAAATTTCAGACTTCTCAAATGCTGCAGCCACAACAAAATGCAGTCCAATGGAGGAATGAAGCCAAAATAATACACATATGCTAGCAACATGGTATCCAAATAAGTCATGGGATGTTTGGTGTTTCTTATTTTGCCTCATCTTGTCTAGAGGCTGCTTGTTTATATTGTATGCATACTATTGAAGATGGCCTTCCAGCATTATGAGAAGCAAAATGACCAGAACCAGGGGAAACAGCTGCATGTTCTCATACGAAAGAGAGTTTTGGTAGAGTTGCGGATGCCTTTTGTACGGAAGTCATTTTGGTGAGTTTTTTAATATACTTGCAACACGGAATTCAAGTCTTGAGATGTTTAGTATTTCTTTAATTGTGCCATTTATCAAGAGGTTGATTGTTTGTATAATTATGCATATTACTGAAGATGATCTTCCAATATGATGCGCAGAGCAATGACAAGAATCAGGAAAAAGGCGCTTTTTGTTACATGAAGAGGAGTTTGGGCAGAATCTCTGATGATTTATGTGGAGAAGTAGTGAGTTTCTCAGATAGAGTTTTGATATCTTTTGCTCCTGCAATGCGTCAAAATCAGATCGCAGCTTTAGATGATTTGCCATTATTTTGCACCCAACGGTATCAAACTTTGTTGGCTATAGCTTGATTATGTTATTATTTATTGGTTCTTTAAGTTTTAGCTAAGGATTTCTCATTTCCTGAATGTTGCAGGCTCCACAATAAATTCAGATCCTAGTCCAAAGTTGTTGACAACATCAGTTCTGATACTGCTTTTGCTGTGATTTAATTGTTGTATATAACTGTAAAATTGTTCTTCTAAGTTCATTAATCTGATATTTCCTTTCATTACCTTGAAGAAACTACAGACTTCTTAATTATTGTGGAATAGTTAAAATCCAGTTTATTGGAGGGATGATGCCAAAGCAGAACAGGGAGAAAATGATATTCTTGTTTGCCTAATTCATCATAAATCAGTTGACTGAATAAATTTTCCTCTCAGAAAATCATTCTCGCCTTTTCGGTCGTTCATGTGAATCACAGTCAAAATAGTCGGGAATTTAAATGTTTAGGACTATGACAAGAAACGAGAATGTACGAAGGTGGGGGAAGTGATGAAGCAAAATACTTGCTCTTAAGCGATGGACAGATGCCTTGTTTAGAAATCACATGGTATTTTAGTTTCTATTTGTCTAATTAAGCATAAGTTATTAAGTAAATATATTTATAATCTCATCTTCAGATACTCATACTTGTTATTCATGTGAATAGAACACGATACAGTTTGGCAGACATTGGACTCGAGGAGCAAGGATGAAATAGGAGAACCAAGAAGTTAGGAGATGTGATTAGAGGAAAAGGTTTCTAATGTTTCAATAACAAATTATGTTTTCTTCTCTTATTTTCCACTTAAGGCAATATCATGATAGAAGTTCTGTTTTCTTTTGGGCCATTTAGTTAGATATCAAATTCTTTTTCCAATAAATGATGTTCATACAGACTATGAAATGAGGTAATTCCCCTGTTTTAATTATTCTTGGTTTATTGGATTTGCATCAAATTTTTTTAAATCTTGTGTTAAAAACCACTTTAAAAAAAAAAAACTCTCATAATGCCATCAGTTCTTTTAATTTTTTGTTTTGTTATCTCATGGACTCAAGGTATCTTCTGAGTTCTGAAAGGGATTCTTAGTGTCAGGCATTAAGGTGTCACAACACTCCAATAGGACCCATAACTCTTTGTGGTTTTCTTGAGCAGTAGTGACGCATGATACAAGCTCAGTAGTCAAAAGAATGTGTTCCTTCTTCCTGTTCTTTTTTGCACCATCAGGTAATTTTTCATCTTGACTTCCCTTTCTTATTTTTTTTTTTTCCTTTTTGGTTAGTTGTGATTTGTTATTATTGTGATTAATGAGGCATATTTTTGATATTCTTGATCAGAGTGACAAGCCTGAAAACCATTCTCTCCTTTTTTGACTTCGTTAGATGGTTAATAAATGCCATGCTTGGGGGAGCATGTCTTGCACCTATTGTTCCATATTTTTTCACAGGCCCTCAGTGTAGTTGGGGCTTTCACACAAGACATTTGTGCTGTAAACTTTTGTCATACAATAGTGATCAATATAAATATAACTAGTGCAAAGATCTCTAAGTTTCTGAAGCAATTCAAGCGCGAGCTGATCAAAACTCAAATTTTTGGATTTCGGAGTTGTTTCAATTCTTTTGTAAACACAAAGTAGCTTTCATAGTTTATAATATGATTGAAAATTGTTTAAGTGCTTCAACTGCTATACAGTATCATAGTTTCTTTGTTTTACAGACATTAAAGAATGCTTTATCACCATACAAACTTGGAGGGGCAGCAGGTGGAAGTGATTATGATCCTAAAGGAAAAAGCGATAATGAGGTAAGATGTTTGTTCTCTGTTAAGATGGTATTTCAGTAAGAACCTTCTAAGAAATTCTGAAAGTTTCTCTTACAGTTCTTTGTGAAACCCATGCTGGCTGATCATGCGCTTTTGCCAAAGTTTCATGAATGAGATCTATAGATATCTGGGTCCTGACAAGGTAACTTAAGAAGATCTCCTTTTCATCTTCAATCTGTTTTGGAGTCTCTGAGTTGTATGACCCACTTCTCCATGCCTGATTTACTGTTTTGTGCAATTTTAGGATCTTCCATCAGAAGAGATGGGTGTTGGCACCCGAGAGATGGGTATCTCTTTGGGCAATATAGACATCTTGCTGGTCATTTTCAGGTACTTAAAAACACTTGAAAGAGGCTGTTTGACACGTTGAATTTATCTTGTATTTTCCTTCTTATATTCTCATTATTCTCTGTTATTTTTCATTATTATTATTTTTGGAGTCATTTCTTTAATTATTATAAATTATTATGTACTGCCTAGGTTTGAATATGCCATCCATCCCTATGGCGGTTAATATTCTGACAAAAGCTAATGTTCTTATTGCTCCTGCCATGGCTGCTGATGCTGGAAGAGTGTGTTCTTTACTTCTACAAGGCATATGAATCTTTATGTGCCTTTTGAGTATCTATGCTAACATGGAATCGAAGGCCTCTTCAAATTCCTTAATGTAGGGTTATTGCTTTCTTTTTTTTAGGTGGTCTTTCCTTGCCCTTCCCTCCAGCGGATTTTGAGTTCCGACCATATAATTGTTTATGCATTTAGTTTGGTTTAAATAGGTATCAAGAGTTTGGTTTAACTATGGTGTTTAACAACATAATTACAGTGATGAGTGACTCAATAGGTTTGGAACTTTTTCTGCATTAACAGCTTGCCGTTTTAATTTTGCAGTGATTTGTGACATGATAGGGTTCTTTTGGACATGCTTAGTTGTCACCAAATAGAGTCTCTACACCACAGTTTCATTGATTGTCAGGATGCCATGCTTAAGAACACATTTTTTTTTTTTTGAATGCGGCTAACTATAGATGTGAATGAAAGTAGATACATTCCAAAACCATTAAATAGTAAGGCTAACTATGGATGAATCTGTGCAGAATTATTCCAAATTCGTAGTAAATGCTCTAAATTACTGTGTCCGCTATTACATAGCCATATAAGAATAGGCTGCACATCAGCCCACTTACTTATATAACTTTATCCAAGCGGGTTGAATATGTTCTTGAACTCTTGTTTCCACATATTTTTGAGTTGAAGGTGGGGCATATGAGCCATGGCTGCTTGACTGTGATACATTTGTCCGTTTCAATTTTGGTTTTGATCAAATTTTTTCATTAGCTTTTTCTGATATGTATTTATTTATTAAATTGTTGACCAACTTGGCTTAAGGTTGTTGCTGGTGAACTCGAATTAAATTATGAATGCAATTTGATGCACTGGTCACCTGAGGACTTCAAATCTAAATTACAGTTATGACTATGTATTTCATTTCAATTCTTGTTGACTTATAACTTCAAAAATGCAACTAGATTAAAGCATATGCAGAAATTACCAACCCCATTTCTCAAAATTTTGGGCCTTCTAATCACATTGATGAAATTTAGATTATATTTTTCTGAGTGGAACCTAGAGAATTTACTATAGTAAAAGTGACTTCAGAACCAACTGCTACTTGATGACCACCCTTTCTGCTGGTCCTGTGAAAGTTGACTTATATAACTGTTAAAATGACAAATATTAGTTTCAAAGTGGTTCTTGACACAAAGTTGGTAAGGAAATAGTGCATATAGTTAAGCTCCTTTAGGATCTTTCATATCGTGATATAATATGCTTTCCAGAATCCCAAATTCAGGTACTTTAATTTGCTAAATTGTGTCACCAACGGATGTCTTGTTGTTTGTCAATGAGTAAGAAATTGCAAATTATATATTTTGCAATTATGTTTTTGTGAATTCCTATCACAATTGCATGTTACAGGAGAAGATATTTGATTTGTCAATTGCATTGGTGTATGCGATATGAAAGAGAGAAAATAGGCAGAGCAAGTGACCAACTAGTGAAATTTTTGAAGCATATTCTTTTTAACTGTTCTTTATTTTTATCTGCAATTATTGAACGTTATCAACTTCTTGTTGCCCCTTGTGCAGATTATGTCAGTTAGCTCTTCCATTCTCCCCAAATTTAGTGAGCAAAATCCTTTTACAACTCATGAAGGTTTGTTTTTGTTGTCTTCTAGCTATTAATATATTCAATTACATTATGTAATACTTTGTTTTCATATCTCATTCTTGATGCAGTAAAGAAAGTTCAACACTATATCAAATGTCATGCTTTGAAGAATGAGCTCTTTTATCTGCAAGATCACTGTTGTCAAAAAGGTAATGTCTTCTCCACAATTTTTAGTCTAAAAAATTACTAAGTTTGTTACGGAGAATTATCTAGATCAATTTGTGTTATTATTTTTTTCAACTACTAGAGTTTTTCTTAACATTGTACATCACAATGACAGGTTTCGAATAGGATGGTCTTGATTATGCTGACGTTATCATCAAAAAATTTGATGAGCTCTGAAGACAATGGAGAGAATATAAATTTTGAACATAATCCTCCGGATGTTGTTGAAATTGTGTCATGAAACCAAGAGATGCTCAAAAGAGAGCATACATAATCCTCATGATGTTGTTGAAATTGTGTCATGAAATCAAGAGATGGTTGAATATTGGCCAAATTTGGCCACTCATTATTAAGGGCATAATGGTGTTTTTTCTTTGTAAACTTATATAAGCCTTGAGATAATCTTGTTTCATAACAAGGGCGGAGTTAGAAACATAAGAGAGATTGTGGAGAGAAACACATGGATTTTTCGCTCTTACATTAGAACAATCTCTTTAGGATTTATTGTGGTTTGAGGTTGAGTTCACTTTTGATCCTTAACTTATTGGAAGGTGTGAGAGTGTTTTGTAATTCTTGCTCTATCTCATATAGTGAAACCAACATCCCCACCCGTGGACGTAGGCATATTGGCCGAACCACGTAAATCGTTGTGCTTTTTTGTGTTTTCGCCTCGACTTTTTTTTTTTTCCTTAGCTACTGTTTGATCGTTTTTTATTTGGACATTTTTACTTAGTATTTTCGGTTTTCTTGAAAACTAAACTATGATTTAGGTTTACAAATGTTCATTCAAGATATAATTTTTAACCATGATCTGCAAGCATTCAACAACCCATTAACAATGCTAGGCCAATGAGGTAACAGAACCCGTCGCTAGCACATCCACCATTATTGGTATTTTTCTTGAAATTTTAACAACTATAAGTAACCAAATGAGAAAGCATAGCAAATAGCAACATGATCATGGTCGATCCAGCAATGCCTAAATTACAATAGACATTAATAATTATCGCCATTGATGTAGAAAGCATTAATTGTGGACAAGGAATTAAAGTAAAGTCATGGCTTCTTCACTTCAAATTACTGCCCATATGTACCAGCCCCACAACACAATAAATTGATTCTCGTTGTCTAAAGAGAATAGTAGTGTTATACAACTTATATTATTTTCCATTGGTTTTATATTTAAAAATATGTTTTCTCCGTATTTTCGGTGTAACATTTAACATTCATAGTGAAATGTTAGGATGATTATAAGTTTTGGGTTCTTTCAACTTAGTAGACGTTCTTCAGATTAAAAACATTTGTGTAAACTCAAAAAACCAATTTGAATGCTTTGAACTCAAAGACAATTACTATGATTGAAAGGGGAGAAACAAAAAACAGGAGGGCTAAACAATAAAGTGGGGCTCAAATGTGGTTACTATTCACGAAACTTCTTTTAGAGAAATTGTTCTTCTCATAGTGGGCCAAGTTTCTCCGAATGCCAAGTGATCAAGCAACAGTTCCACATATTGTTGGTTGTAGACAGAAATGTTAAACCCAAGAGAGAGTGGTCCAATAAACCACATCCTATAGCATGGCCCATGAGAAGTAATAGAGATGACAAAGCCCTTTAATAATTCAATCCAATTAGTTGAAAATCTTAACATCGATCCAACCCAAATTGACCATACAATCTTTCTCACAAAGTTAACAGAAAATCAGTATTTGTGGGGTTTGGAAGTCTGATATGTAAAGGTAATAGATAAAGTTCAATCATTCCCATCCAAAAACAAACTTCAAAGTGATGTGAAACAACAAGAGTAGACAATCTGACTTGTTTCTGCTGTTGCTGCTATTCTGGGTATAAGTAGTAGAAGTTGGGGAGAATATTCCAATTCATGCTATAAGTGCCTTCAACTGAAAAATATGTCAAATGACAGTTTTCCTATTGTTATGCAACCTTGACACTCATAAAGCAATCTTCACCTTAAAAAATGCACTGATGCGAACATGCAAAGGGAAGGGATTTGCAGCACTGTGGAATCTCTCCTTAATAAATTATCTCCTTCTTATATGAAAACTCAAACTGAAAAACAAGTAAATGGTAACCAGAAACATTTGTTAGAAGCATTGAGAAGACATTATTGAATGAAGAGGAAATGGAGGAACAAAGGAAGTCTTAAAATGAATATACAAAAACTTTCAGTGACTAGCATGAGGTTTGTAGTTTCTGGTGCTTCAAACATAATATCAGTCACCAAATGATGATAAATTCCTGGAATTGCATTAGTTAATCAAATATAGAGAAAACATAATATTAAATTTTCATTGAACAAAATCAAGAAAGACTTGTTGATTTCTTACTGCAAGTGCAATGCACATCTGTCACAGCTAATTGATAAGATCTTATTCCGACATATATCCAATAAAGACTGATCAGCATATAAATAAACAACTAAAAAAGGAAAAACATGAAAATCTGATCTTATCAAGAACAAAAATTACATGCAAAGGTGTAGGTACAAGGGATTAATCAGTCATTCAACCCATTCAGTTATTAAAATGCGAAACGAGAATGATACCACTTTAAAATATGAGGGCAAAGTAGAAAGATTATTTTTTTACTGAAAGACCTTGGATAATTCTTCACCTCTGCTTGATTGTTCTTCATTATATAGACCCTTCTTACATGTTTTATCTTTTCCAAACAGAAAAAAAATTAAGCAATTATACTAAAATTAAAGCAGGTTCTTAAATGATGAGTAAACAAATCATGTTTAACAATTTTGTTCTGTGTTTCTGTTGAGAGATTCAAATAAAGGGAAGAAACATTTTTCCTTTGGCAATTACTAGATAAATGTTAGGGAGAAGATTTAGGAGCAAAATGATCTTATCAAGACCCTTGTTTAAGAAGAAAAGAATATAACATTTTAGATTGTTAGAAAGCAACAACATACCTTTACTAGCATCGAAGCAACAACAAGGATTCTTTGCGTCCTATAAATAATTTTTTTTACAATTTCTAAATCAATAAAGCACTACAAATTGTTTTATGATGGATTTCCTTCTGGATTTTTAGAAGCTAAACAAAGTAACAGTCTATCATACATTATTATTCCACATAATCATTCACTTTATAATAATAGAGAGAGAACAGGGGGAATTTAATAAACTAAAACGATACTAACATTCTATAATTTAACTAGAATGAAAGCAAAGAATGTATTAAAAGAAAAGAATAAATGTGGCATTGCTTTTAGAAAGCTAACATTGTTGGATATGAAGAAAGAAAAGAATATGAGAATCGCTTTTGTTTGGAGAAAAGTTTGGTACCTTAACCAGCATCAAAGCAACATGTTGATTAGAGTCATCTGCTGAAAGATTCTGTGGTCTGGTTTTGGTCTATAAATAACAAATGGAACGGTAGAATTTTCACAACACAATTAAACACACCTAGTATTTCAATATCTTAAATCAATTACCATCTTTGACTATGGCTGAAGCGCTTGTCTCCACAATCCTGGGTCAATTGGCTTCACTAGCCGCTGAAGAGATGAAACTTCTTGCTTGTGCCATTCTTGGGGATTTTATAGGACTCAAAGTGATTGGCACAAGCTGAAATCAGTGACATAACTTTGGCCGCAAGACAGATACATATTCTGCAAGCTTTAAAATTTCACATCTATAATCCAAGCAAGACGTTGCTGGGACGTAGCCAATTAATACAATTAAAACAGAGTAGAATGGTCTTAAAATATGTAATAACTAGTCTCTAAATATAATATAATTGGTTTGATATCAGTTTCAGTTAACTTGTATTGGTATATAGAGGTGACATCATTATATATTTAGATAAAATATTTGCTTAAATTAGGAGAGGACGACGAAAGAATCTCACATCAACTGAGTTGGAATATAATAAAAACAAAGAATCTTTTAAGATGCCTCATTTAGGTTGCTGTAAGAAGGTTAAGAATTACCAGAGGCATTGGTTCCATTACCAACTTAGAAATATTAGATGTGAGTAATTGTCTTCAACTTACTGAACTTCCACAAAGATAAAGATCAGGAATGTTGACGCATTTGAGGTTTCTCAACTTATGTCATTGTTGGGTTTAAAGGAAAGATACTTCTTTTGTTATTCTAAAGAAACTGCAGACTTTTCAATATCAGACACATTAAAATTCAGTTCGTTGGACCTTGGAGGGATGATGCCAAAATAGAACAGAGGGGAGACCATGTTACCTTGTGAGGATGGTATATGGATATTTCAGGCAGGGTACTTCTGCTCTTGTTTGAGATGTTTTACACCCTCTTTTGAGTTTTAAACGTGGATTTTATTTATAAGAATTCAGTTGCACAAAAAAGGTTGCAAGCAAGCAGCAATTATCTCATCTATGTTCGTTTTCTGATCTCATGCAAGCAGATGAGACAAACGTACATCAACTCCATGGTTTCTTCTGAAATCATTGGTCCTGTTGATGTGCAAGTATTGGACTAATAGCATTGTATATAATCTAGGCACAATTACCAACTTTTTCCTGGTTACACATCAAAAATGTCCAACAGTTAATTTCTTCTGATAAATTAAAATGTTATTTGACAGGCTTAAGCACAAGAGATGAGGAGAGCTTGACTGAATTGATTAGGCCAAGGCAAATGGTGTCTTTGGAGGCCACTCTTCCTGTTCACACTGAAGGCTGAGGACCACAGAGAATAGATTTTTGAAGAGAAATGTGGTGGACGACTGAGTGAAAACATCTTATGCGTTGGCTTTTTCCTAAGTAATGAACGGTGATGATTCATTGAATGGAACACAAAGCGTGAGATCACAGACCATTTACAATTTTACAATTAAGTGGGGGGTGACGTCAAAAATTTATTTTTCCTATTTTTTGTCTATCCTATTTCTCTCACTCTGAAATTATTTTGATAATATTAGAAATATTTTTTTATTAAAAATACGTTTTAAAACAACCTTGAAAGAACGGATCACCTTGTGTGGTCAATTTTTCCAAAATAATTGAACGGTGATGATTCATTGGCTGAATCCGTGTTGACGTAAGCTTAACAATTGAATCGTCAGAATTGGTGAGTTGCACCAAGACACTAACTGGTTAACTTTGAAGTCAAATTTCTTGTGGTCTATAAAAATCAAACAATTGAATCCGTACCTTGTAGTTTTTTAATCGTATTACAATGATTTATTTATACAAGTGAGAAAAAAAACAATTAAGGAAATATAATCAAGGTTGTAATTACATGAAATCATAATAAAATCAATTACTGATGTTTTAGCTGATTATGGCATGATTTAGCTTAGCAATCAACACTATTGCATCATAGTGATATATTTTTATCAAACAAAGAATTTTGGAATTAAAAAAAAAAGTTTCACCGACTTAGAGAAAAATTAGATTTAGGGTTTATGTAAGAAATTAAGTTTAAAAATTAAAACAAAGTTATAAACTAGAGACTACGTGTATTTATAAATAATTATGTCATTATTTAGGGTTAAACTTGTCAAGTAAAATTACATTAACAGTGGGGGATTATATTCAATTTGGTGGGGGGTTAAAATCATTTTCCTATAATATATTGTAGAGAGAGACGAAAGGAATAATTTTTTGTTGAGAGCAATAATTTGTTTTGATATTACTAGTCAATATGGCTGGAGCATAACTTCCACGTCTCCATGTGAGTGGCCATTAATTTCATCTATATAATGAAGCGTCAGATTCTGTAGTCTTTTCTGTCTATAAAAAACAAATGGAAGGCTAGAATTTCACAACACAATTAAACCCAAGTATTTCAATATTTAAAGAATCATACCATCTTTTGACTATGGCTGAATCGCTTGTCTCCACATCCTGGGTCAGTTGGCTTCACTAGCCCTGTGAAGAGGTGAAACTTCTTGCGTCTGCAGACAAGCTGGGAAAGCTCACCAGCAATTTCCAGGCCATTCAAGCTGTGTTGAAGACGCGTAGAGTAGACAAATGGAAGGAGAAGGGGGAGATTGGTTGATAAGCTCAAGACGTTCATATGACATCGAGGAGTGTTGGATGAGTGGATCACGGCGAGCAAAAATTACAAGCTGATGATGCTTCCAAGCTTTGGAAAACTGTATGTTCCTTTCAAGAATGTTTCCTACGTCATGAAATTGCTAGCAAGATAAAATCTAAAAAGGACTTGTGTTATTGCCATGCAAAAGAATAGTTTCAATTTTAGCTTGACTACGGCACTAGACAAGCACAGCACGAAATGACTACCTCTTTTAATTTATTAGAGGTCTATGGAAGATATCATGATAGGAATACATTAATAAAACTACTTGTAGCTGAGAGTAGTCAAGATCAACCATCTCTACCATTTCTATGTAGGGATGGGAGGGATTGGAAAACAACTCTCGCTCAATGGTTTTGATGATGACAAGGTCAACACCCATTTTGACAAGAAAATTGGGGTGTGTCTCTCATCCTTTCATGAGCTTGATTGCCAAAGCAATTCTTGAATCTTTTTAGGTGGAAAAAAAGACAGATGAATTAGAAACTGTGTTGAAAAGACATATGTCAATCTATTAAGGAAGAAAATTTTTTGTTTTAGATGATGGTGCTTGACAATTTTAGAAATGGGAACAAGTGAAAATGCTCTTCAGTCTGCTTCTCAGGAGTAGAATTTTGGTGACACACGTAAAGAAATACTGCAAAAATAGAGAAGCACCAAACCATCCAAATAGGAAGATTAGGTGATGAGGAATCTATGGTCATTATTTATCAGTTGCATTATGGAAAGACACGCAGAATATGAAAATTAAAGATATGGTAGAAGATTGTAGGGAAGTGTGATGGCTTGCCTCTTGCTATAAAGCTTTAGGAAGTCTTTGAATTTAAAAAAAAGGGCTGAACAGTGGCAAAGTGTCTTAGATAGTGATTTATGGAATCAGAAGAGATAGAAAAAGCACTCTCCCCCATCCTCTTGAGCTATTATGATTTGTCTTCTAAACTAAGAAAATGCTTTCTATTGTGCCATATTTCCAAAGACTAGTGATAGAGAAAGATATATTGATCAAGTTATGGATGGCTCAAGGTTTTCTTAAGGTAGAGGAAACAAAGAAATGGAATTAGTTGGTGAAGATATTTGAAAACTTAGTAATGCGTTTTTGTTTCAAGATTTGAAAGAGTGAATATGATGTAGTATTTAAGATACAGATGCATGATAGTGCATGACTTTGTTCAATTTGTTTCAAAGAATGAATGTTTTGCAATAGAAGTTGAGAGTGATGCATTTCTCAATTAAGATTTCTTATAAAGGTTCGACATTTATAGCAAGAAGTGATTTGATGAATTCCTTCTCTATTCTATCTAAAAAAATTGCGTAGCTTTGTATTGAGAACAATACAGAAAAACTTAATGGACATTTTGAGCATTACATGTCTGAGGACATTAAATTTGAGTGGCATAATTATAAAATTCCAAAAGGCATAAAATATTAGTGCATTTGAGGTACCTTAAGTTGAAGGATAATTATTATATAAAAAAATTGCTTGAGGTATGTGTGTGATTATATAATCTACAAACTTGGATGTCACTGGTTGTAGGAACTTAGAAGCTACCCCAGGGATAGGAAAGTTAGTTATTTGAGGCATCTATATTGGTGGGACAAGAGATTAAGGTACATTCCAAAGAGTGAGAGATTGAGTTGTCTAAAGACATTAAAAAATTTTATTAATGGTGATTATGATTATGGTAACAAGCATGCACTAGTCTTGATTCTTGAAGAACTTGAACATGGCCCATCTTTAGATTAGAGTGGTAATGTGAGGGATAGTAATGCACTTAAACTTGCAGATTTCAGAGTACCAAAAATCTCCTTCATTTGACTTTATCATTTTTATTCAGTAGAGGAGAGAAGCGGAAATGAGAGAATGTAATGATTATTGAAGCATTACAACACACCTCCAAATTTAGAGAAATTACGGATAGAATTTTGAGGCAAATCCATGTCTTTTGATTGGATGGTATCATTAACCAAGTTGAGGATTAGAGCTTTATTGGATGAGTGTGAGCATTTACCTCCTTGGGAAAATACCATCCCTTGAATTACTAAAAATGGTAATGAGTATATAAAAGAGTGGGTAAGAATTTTTGGGAATAGAAATAATGCCATCAATCAATTGTTGCCTTTCAAATTGAAATTCTCCATTTGTTTTTGCTAAGAATGGAAAGGAAGTGAATCATGAGATTACAATAGTAGAGATATTACAATCATGCCACTCTTCATTCCTTGAAATTATGCGTGATAAATTAAAGGCACTGCCAGATCAAATTCTTCAAACACCAACACTGCAGCAATTAGAGATTGATTGCCCTTCTCGGAAACGTTACAAGGAGACAGGAGATGATAGGAGCAGATCGCTCACATTCCAAAAGTCTCTTCATGAGCCGTGTGTACCTATGCGATTCCGATTGGTAATGGAGGACTTGGAGCCATGGTGTGGGGTGATGTTGCTTCAGAGACTGTCACTAATGGGAAAGTAAAGTTATCTTCGTTTGTGTTGTTGAAGAAAGTTTGGCTTCGTCCTGCTTTCCGTTGTTCTTGTTTTTTTTTAGTGCAGAAACACACTTTGAGAGTATAGTAACGTTTGATTTAGTTCATTATCACTTATTGTAAAGAAAAAGAATGTGAGAAATTAAGACTGAATATTTAATTTAATTTAATTTCTTATTTTAATCAAGTAGATGGCAAAGAGTCATTTAAACTGCTTCAAATGTTTAAATTGGTGGTTTTTTCTGATAATAATGGTAGGATGCCATCACTTGTTCTTTTAGGTTGAAATCGCTTTTCACTGTGTGTTGCTGACAGAAAGTCTGGGAAACTATGGCATTGGGAAGTAATTCAGCTTTCCCATCTCTCTTGACAGATAATGAAAGAAGATTTGACTGATGACCTGGTGCCTAGGGTTGATTAAACCTTTGTGTTATATGTCCATATAAAGTCATTGCAGATGGTGGTTGCTAAACTTTCTCAGTTAGATTTTGGCAACTTGAGATGATCCGTTCTTGTATGATAACAGGGATCTTAATTGAAAATCTGATCACAGCTCTCACAACTTTAGCTATTGTTCTGCAATCGGAGGTATAAACTTGGATGGCAATCCTTATTATATATTGGGTATTGTTCTGTTTGTATGGGCTAAGACTTTCTTGTTCTATGAATTGGCAGTCTCTAGATTAATTTTGGAGATCCCATTGCAATGTTGTTGAAATCACCAGTCTTTGTAAATCTTGGGAGCTATAAATGCGATCAAAAAGGAGGTTTCTAAAGCATCTTATACCACGTTCACATCAGTTTGATGAACGAATACTGGTTTGTGTGCATATGTTGGATGATTTCCAAACCATGTTTAGGTTCTTGTTAGCAAATTGAGCTTTTCTTAATCTTTATTTATCAGTTATAGCTGTTTATGGAACCAATGCTTGTATTCTAATTTTTTTTTTTTTTTTTAATTTCATATTTCTTTTTGTTACCGTGAAAATTGCAGACTTCTCAAATGCTGCAGCCACAACAAAATGCAGTCCAATGGAGGAATGAAGCCAAAATATACAATATGCTAGCAACATGGTATCCAAATAAGTCATGGAGGTTTGGTGTTTTTATTTTGCCTATCTGTCTAGAGGCTGCTTGTTTATATGTATGCATACTATTGAAGTGGCCTTCCAGCATTATGAGAAGCAAAATGACCAGAACCAGGGGAAACAGCTGCATGTTCTCATACGAAGAGGTTTTGGTAGAGTTGCGGATGCCTTTGTACGGAGTTTTTGGTGAGTTTTAATATCTTGCAACACGGAATTCAAGTCTTGAGATGTTTAGTATTTCTTAATTGTGCCATTTATCAAGAGGTTGATTGTTTGTATAATTATGCATATTATGAAGATGATCTTCCATAGATGCGCAGAGCAATGACAAGAATCAGGAAAAAGGCGCTTTTTGTTACATGAAGAGGAGTTTGGCAGCGACTGATGATATTGGAGAAGTAGTGAGTTTTCAGATAGAGTTTTGATATCTTTTGCTCCTGCAATGCGTCAAAATCAGATCGCAGCTTTAGATGATTTGCCATTATTTTGCACCAACGGTATCAAACTTTGTTGCTATAGCTTGATTATGTTATTATTTGTGGTTCTTTAAGTTTTAGCTAAGGATTTCTCATTTCCTGAGTTGCAGGCTCCACAATAAATTCAGATCCTAGTCCAAAGTTGTTGACAACATCAGTTCTGATATGCTTGCTGTGATTTAATTGTTGTATAACTGTAAAGTTCTTCTAAGTTCATATATGATATTTCCTTTCATACCTTGAAGAAACTACAGACTTCTTAATATTGTGAATAGTTAAAATCCAGTTTATTGGAGGGATGATGCCAAAGCAGAACAGGGAGAAAGATATTCTTGTTTGCCTAATTCATCATAAATCAGTTGACTGAATAAATTTCCTCTCAGAAAATCATTCTGCCCTTTTGGTCGTTCATGTGAATCAGTCAAAATAGTCGGAATTTAAATGTTTAGGACTATGACAAGAAACGAGAATGTACGAAGGTGGGGGAAGTGATGAAGCAAAATACTGCTCTTACGGATGGACAGATGCCTTGTTAGAAATCACTGGTATTTAGTTTCTTTTGTCTAATTAGCTAAGTATTAAGTAAATATATTTATAATCTCATCTAGATACTCATACTTGTTTTTTCATGTGAATAGAACACGATACAGTTTGGCAGACATTGGACTCGAGGAGCAGGATGAAATAGGAGAACCAAGAAGTTAGGAGATGTGATAGAGGAAAAGGTTTCTAATGTTTCAATAACAATTATGTTTCTTCTCTTATTCCACTTAAGCATATCATGATAGAAGTTCTGTTTTCTTTTGGGCCATTTAGTTAGATTCAAATTCTTTTTCAATAAATGATGTCTACAGACTATGAAATAGGTAATTCCCCTGTTTTAATTATCTTGTTTATTGGTTGCATCAAATTTTTTAAATCTTGTGTTAAAAACCACTTTAAAAAAAAAAAAACTCTCATAATGCATCATTCTTTTAATTTTTGTTTTTGTTATTCATGGAACAAGGTATCTCTCGAGTTCTGAAAGGGATTCTTAGTGTCAGGCATTAAGGGTCACACACCCAATAGGACCCATAACTCTTGTGGTTCTTGAGCAGTAGTGACGCATGATACAAGCTCAGTAGTCAAAAGAATGTGTTCCTTCTTCTGTTCTTTTTTGCACCATCAGGTAATTTTTCATCTTGATTCCCTTTTTTATTTTTTTTTTTTTCCTTTTGGTTATGTGATTTTTATTATTGTGATTAATGAGGCATATTTTTGATATTTGATCAGAGTGACAAGCCTGAAAACCATTCTCTCCTTTTTTGACTTCGTTAGATGGTTAATAAATCGCATGCTTGGGGGAGCATGTCTTGCACCTATTGTTCCATATTTTTCACAGGCCCTCAGTGTAGTTGGGGCTTTCAACCAAGACATTTGTGCTGTAAACTTTGTTCATACAATAGTGATCAATATAATATAAACTAGTGCAAAGATCTCTAAGTTTCTGAAGCAATTCAAGCGCGAGCTGATCAAAACTCAAATTTTGGATTTCGGAGGTGTTTTCAATTCTTTTGTAAACACAAAGTAGCTTTCATAGTTATAATATGATGAAAATTGTTTAAGTGCTTCAACTGCTATACAGTATCTCTAGTTCCTTGTTTTACAGACATTAAAGAATGCTTTATCACCATACAAACTTGGGGGTAGCAGGTGGAAGTGATTATGATCCTAAAGGAAAAAGCGATAATGAGGTAAGATGTTTGTTGTATGTTGAGATGGTTTTCAGTGGAACCTTCTAAGAAATTCTGAAGTTTCTCTTACAGTTCTTTGTGAAACTCATGCTGGCTGATCATGCGCTTTTGCCAAAGTTTCATGAATGAGATCTATAGATATCTGGGTCTGACAAGGTAACTTAAGAAGATCTCTTTTCATCTTCAATCTGTTTTGGAGTCTCTGAGTTGTATGACCCACTTCTCCATGCCTGATTTACTGTTTGTGCAATTTTAGGATCTTCCATCAGAAGAGATGGGTGTTGGCACCCGAGAGGGGTATCTCTTTGGGCAATATAAGACATCTTGTGGTCATTTTCAGGTACTTAAAAACACTTGAAAGAGGCTGTTTGACACGTTGAATTTATCTTGTATTTTCCTTCTTAATTCTCATTATTCTCGTTATTTTCATTATTATTATTTGGAGTCATTTCTTTAATTATATAAATTATATGTACTGCCTAGGTTTGAATATGCCATCCATCCCTATGGCGTAATATTCTGACAAAAGCTAATGTTCTATTGCTCCTGCCATGGCTGCTGATGCGGAAGAGTGTGTTCTTACTTCTACAAGGCATATGAATCTTTATGTGCCTTTGAGTATCTATGCTAAACTGGAATCGAAGGCCTCTCAAATTCCTTAATGTAGGGTATTGCTTTCTTTTTTTAGGTGGTCTTTCCTTGCCCCCTCCAGCGGATTTTGAGTTCCGACCATATAATTGTTTATGCATTTAGTTTGGTTTAAATAGGTATCAAGAGTTTGGTTTAACTATGGTGTTTAACAACATAATTACAGTGATGAGTGACTCAATAGGTTTGAACTTTTTTGCATTAACAGCTTGCCGTTTTAATTTTGCAGTGATTTGTGACATGATAGGGTTCTTTTGGACATGCTTAGTTGTCACCAATAGAGTCTACACCACAGTTTCATGATTGTCAGGATGCCATGCTTAAGAACACATTTTTTTTTTTTGAATGCGGCTAACTATAGATGTGAATGAAAGTAGTACTTCCAAAAACATTAAATAGTAAGGCTAACTATGGATGAATCTGTGCAGAATTATTCCAAATCGTAGTAAAGCTCTAAATTACTGTGTCCGCTATTACATAGCAATAAGAATAGGCTGCACATCAGCCCACTTACTTATATAACTTTATCCAAGCGGGTTGAATAGTTCTTGAACTCTTGTTTCCACATATTTTTGAGTTGAAGGTGGGGCATATGAGCCATGGCTGCTTGACTGTGATACATTTGTCCGTTTCAATTTGGTTTTGATCAAATTTTTCATTAGCTTTTCTGATATGTATTTATTTATTAAATTGTTGACCAACTTGGCTTAAGGTTGTTGCTGGTGAACTCGAATTAAATTATGAATGCAATTTGATGCACTGGTCACCTGAGGACTTCAATCTAAATTACAGTTATGACTATGTATTTCATTTCAATTCTTGTTGACTTATAACTTCAAAAATGCAAACTAGATTAAAGCATATGCAGAAATTACAACCCCATTCTCAAAATTTGGGCTTCTAATCACATTGATGAAATTTAGATTATATTTTCTGAGTGGAACCTAGAGAATTACTATAGTAAAAGTGACTTCAGAACCAACTGCTACTTGATGAAACCCTTCTTGCGGTCCTGTGAAAGTTGACTTTATAACTGTTAAAATGA